CAAGGACTGGCGCTTCCTGGAAGATCTACCATGCCAGGAGTCTTTTCCTATCCATTGCTGCACACAGAACTGTCCCTGAAATTCAAAAAAAGGTCTTGGGTAAAGGGTCTCAGGAAAAAAAAAAAGACTGAAGGACCCTTTGTATTTTTAAACACAGAGACTGATTCAAAGAAAATCTTAAACAATATGTAAAGCACAATTTATTACGGCCAGGAGATACAGGGGGTTTCGCCCGCCCGTGCATTCTGCTGAGAAAAGAAACACAACAGATTTTTATACATTTGGAAGAAGTGAGCTTCTGCCGGATTCTGTCCCTGGGATGGGGTAACCTCGGATGTACGGACAGACTGGGAATGACATGCTGCAGAGCAGTGTTGGAAAATGGTCTCTGGGGTCCTGGTGGATGGCCAGTTGGCCAAGAGTCAGTGGTGCCCTGGCGGGTCTCACTGCTCAGTCACACAAGGGTTTTCAGACACACGAGTTCTTCCCTTTTACACACTCAGAGACAGTTCATGGCAGCAGGGGCAGTATCTCCTGGGGCTCCTGCTGCCACACCAAGAGCCTGGATGCACCTCAGCCCTGTCGGATGCCACCTGCTCTGCCACTATCTGAGATGCCCCACGGCCTGAGAGATGGACACGGGGAGCTCTGTCCAAAGAAGCACATCCCAGAGCTGCATGCAGGGGCTTTGCCAGGGTTTAGTACTGTAAATGCAAAGTGACACCAAGACACTCTTTGTCCCACATAACTTCAAGGCTCCCCCAGGAGGTTGATGGCATTTGTACTTGCTCAGGGTCATCTCCCCACACCAACAGCAGGTGTGTGCTCAAGACTTGTCTGTGCAATGCAGAGACACCCTGTTTAGTCCTTCTGTGTCTCTCCAGGGAAGACTAAAGAACCTCTGTGGGCTGGGTGAGAAGCCAGTGCTGGAAGTAGTGGTTCTACTATGATTGCCAATCAAGAGTGGTTGGCAGGGATGCCTGCCCTGGGGAGCTGACCTGGGTTTTCCAGTGCACATGGCAATAGATCACACCCTGCCCTGGTGGTCCTTCATGTCTCTCCCAGGAGCCTGGAAGTGCACAGACACTGCTGAGTTCTTTCCCCTAACACATTGCCACTCTTGAGAGGTTCACTGGTGTTTTTTCTCCTCAATATGTTCTTGAGAGAGGACTTACAAGAAGACCTAAACCTTCAGGCACTACCCTGAGGAGATCCCTTGGAAGCATGGAAATACTGTTGCAGAGGGCGGCTGTTCTACAGAAGTGCTAATTGCCTGTCCCTGCCTACAGGCCAGAGGGCTGACACACTACAGCCCTTAGACTTAAACTTCCAGAGCGCTGGGATCTTACACCGACAGCTCTGGAAAAACCAAAGGCTGATGCTCCCTGGCAGTGCTGCTGTGAGCAGCATGACAGAAATGATCCAAAATACAGATGGAGAACTGCAAGGGTAAGTTGACCGATTGTGAGAAACAGGGAACATAGTCCCGGACACTGGTGGGAAATCCCTTTGGCCAAAAAACCCCTTGATAAGGGGCAGGCTTTTGAGACATGGAAGGGAAGGTTAAAGAAAGGGGTGTCTGGAGTGCTCAGCGTGTTAAACGTAGGAAGAAGACCTCAAATAAGACAAAAATGTCCAGATCCTTGATCTGGTGCTTTTCTGAAGACTTACCTATCACTGTGAGTCCCCCACAAATTTGGGGGGACTCCCAAATCTCCCAATACTCTCCTAATGCTCTTCCAGCAGCCAACAGTTCTCTATTTCCCTCCTTCTCTCTCAAAATAAAATTCCACCTTTTTTTACTGCAGCATGACTCTGTCTCTACCGGTGTCCCCAGTGATGTCAGCAATGTCCCTGTGATGTCACTGATGTCCCCAGGGGTGGCACCCATGTCCTCAAAGTTGTCACCAATGTCTTTGCGATGTCACTTTTGTCCCCAGGGGTGGCACCCTTGTCCTCAGTGATGTCACCAATGTCCCTGTGTCTTTGCTGGCATCTTTGATCTGAGAGGAATGTTCGTCCAGATGGAAATTTTGGGACTCAGGCAGGCAGAATAAGTGAAGGGTTGAAAACAGGAAACAACAGCCCTTGTCCCCAGCAAAGAAAGCCTGGAAGTTTTTGCTTTGTGGCGCAGTTGGTTTGTCAGCCTGGGTGCTCCATGGGTAGCAAAAGCTTTCTGTGCTGGCTTATTTGTTATGGGAGGAATCTTCCTCCATATGCAATTTTTGGAGTCAGGCTGACAGTTTCAGCACAGAGCTGAAAAAAGCAAACAACAGCCATTCTCCCCAGGAAAGGAAGACTGCAAGCTTTGGTTTAGTGGTGCAGTTGGTGGGCCAGCCTGGGCACTCCATGGGCAGCAAGAGCTTTCTGTGCTGGCACTTTCGGTCTGGGAGGAATC